CAGACTCGTCGAACCGCGTTCCTCTGCGCTCCGAAAACAGGCTTAGCAGGCGCGATTCGAGACTGGGACTGAGGAGCATCTTTGGCAGGGCAAAGGCGTCCCGCGAAATCGACCCCTCGGCCTCGTACTTTGACACGGGTCGCCCCAATAGCATCCGCGCCTCGCTGGCGGAAATCAGCAACTGGCCGTATATGCGATCCGAAGTCGCCATATCCGGCACAAACTCATCACGACCGACGTCCGTCGCCACCAACAATGTGCCGTTCAACGACGCTTCCCTCCAGAGACGGCCCACCACTACCGAAAGGACCAAGCCACAAAACGCCCCCGCGAGGTCATCTCGCGGCAACCTCGCAACCTGGGACCCCCCACCACTGTTCCAGGCATACCCCCAAGCCATCAAACACGCCCAGCTTCCCACGGCCACGACGTCCGCCGATGTGATCCTCCGTCTCACCGACCGCAAGGGCAGCGTCAGCATCCGAGAGGACCTGGCTCACCTCGCCCTCACCCCGGAGCTTGCTGAGGAGCAGCTCGCCGACAGAGCCGTCGAGAAGGTGCGGAGGAAGCACCTGCGAACGCTGTCCACCGTTAGGCTCGAGTGGACGTCCAAGATCTACGTGCTCTGCACGTCCGGGTACCTGCTGCAGTACAACGGCGAAGGCAACTTTGATCGTCTCCCGGAAAAGGTGCTGCACCTCAGCAAGGACTCGGCCGCGTTCGTCAGCGACGCGATTCCCGGCAAGCATTGGGTTCTTCAGGTTTCCTCGGCTATGGAATCGAACGGTGTCTCTTCGGCGGACTCGCGCGGGTTGCTGTCCCGCCTGCCTTTCCGCGCCGCCGACAAGCGACACGCCGCCAACTTCCTCATGGTATTCGAGAGCGCCGAGGAGATGGAGTCCTGGATCGCTATCCTGCGCCGGGAAATTGAGTCGCTCGGCGGGAAGAAGACCCTTTCGGAGACGGGCCGGCCCAAGGCGGATCCCAAGATTGTACAGCTTCGCGGGCAGCCGAGTCAAAGGACCCTGGTTGTACGGGACCCCGACAGGTTCTCGCGAGCGCTGCCGCCAGACTTTTCTCTTCAGTTGGAGCAGGCCAGGCTTCACGAGGACGACCGCCGCCAGTCCATTATTGACGCTGAGATGACGCGCGACCCCTCCATTGACGACATCTCCACCACCAACAGTATCATCTCCCATGATGGCCGGCAGCTCGAGAGCCTGCGTGACAGCACCAACCGGCTTTCGTACATCTCGTCTGGTCAGCGCACCTTTCTTACCTCGGCCGGCTCGTCGCCCGCATGCTCCCCTGTGCGCGACAGCTTCGCCAGCAGCCACCTAGACGACCTCCCTCCTGCAGAGCATGACTTGCCTGCTGCGAGACCCAGACCCAACGCCGCGGCCATCCTCGACCGCAGACAGTCTCTGCAGACTTCAGGCTATCTGGAGCTGCGCGGCTCTCCCATGTCGCGACCTCAGTCCACGTATACCGAGGCCGACTTCGCGCATGTGGCCGCCAACTTTAGCGTTCCCATGAGCAGGCGCTACAGCGCCGTCAAGAGCCCCTCGTCGAGCCCCGAGCAGACGAGGAGCAACCGCGACTCTATTTCTAGGATCGCCCGTAAACCCCCGCCAACGGCACTTGCCATGGCCCGCCCGTTGTCGATCGTGGCGGATCAGCCATCGCCGGCGTCTCCGGCGCAGGCCCCCGAACTCTCGCAAGTGTGCGAGGAAGAACGGGAGCGCCCGAACCTGAGCCGCGATAGCATGGCGGAGTTCCCTCCCCGGCAAACAAGTCTTTGCCCCAAGGAGCAGGCTGTCACGGTCACCATCCGTACCAGTCCGCGAAAGTACGCCAGCTCGCCGTCTCTGAACCAGCTGGAGGGGTCGCCTCTGTCGCCGGGACTCCGAACCTTTATCCTCCCGTCAAAGACACCATCTCCGGCCTCGTCGAGCGGAGCATCCCACACGTCTCCCCGTCCGCAGTCGTCGTTTGTGTTCCAGTCTCCGGCTCAGAGGGCCACCCAGAGACTCAGCGCACACTCTGTCATAAGCTACTCGCCACGGAGCGAGGACGTAGCCACTGGGCTCCCGATGCTGCCCGAGTCAGACTCTGTGTCGCCTCGGTCCATGCCGCGGGCCCCGATAACACCTCCTACTCCGTCGAGCAAGCAGCTCCGAGTTGACCACTCCAAGGTCGTCTTGGGAAGACGCAGCATGCCTCAGCTGGTCGAAGGACCTCCGCCGGCACCGCCGCCAAACTGCGCGCTGCCGCCCATCCCTCAAAAGGCACGCTCTCATTCCAAAGCGTGACCTACCTGTCATTCACCTTGATTCGATTCATGTGACCACATCTTTTTTCTTATCTTTCAGGCTATGGCCTATAAAAACCGCCCATGGCGGCGCGGGTGTTGAATCTCCTATGTCTTTTATTTTGTTGTTGTTTGCGTCATACCCCTTTGCTGCGCAAATCGGCGTTTTATGGATAAAAAGGCGCCCTCCCCATGATATGCCATCTGGACGGCATTCGGAGTGTTTTTTCAATGGTGAACGTGCATCTCACGGCTGGTTTTGGATGACAAGGGAAAAGGCGATAGATTTCCCTGCGAGGGGCCCGATGACGCAGTGTATGACTTGTAGCAGTAGACTATGCCCTGAGGCAGTACAATATGAAGAACATTTGATACATCAAGGGAAGAGTGAAATGAGTGTGAGATGGCCTTGACAGCATGTGTGTCGGACCGCTGAGGCTGAGGCAACGGTTGCGAGACCAAAAAGGGCTTAGCGCCATCTGCCCCACACCGTCTCTGGTGGCGCACCACGAAAATCAATCAACATCAAAATTCCTCCAGTTCTAGACCCCACCACCGATTTGACCACCGCGACAAACCGCTTCAGGACTGCAAACCTCTGACGAATCCGACCGATATCGAGAACGGGATCCGATTACAGCGTATACGAGAAGATAAGGTTGCCCAACATGGCTACGCCCAAGACCAAGTACGCTCGACTCCTGCACACAACTTTGTCCGAACGAAAGGGAGAAAAAAAAGACAGCTAGCTAACCCCTCTCATTCAGGCACGACTGGGCCGACGACGAAGACGTCGAGGAGACGTCGACCGAGCTCCCCGCGCCCCAGACCATCAGCAACAAGGACGGCACCAAGACGATCATCACCTTCCGCTACAATGACCAGGGCAAGAAGGTGAAGATGACCCGCCGCATCCGCTACACGACGCACACCGAAAAGGTGAACCCGCGCGTCGCCGACCGCAAGACGTGGTCCAAGTTCGGCCTCAGCGCCAAGGACCCGGCCGGCCCTGCTCCCGACACCACCTCGGTCGGCGAGAACATCATCTTCCGCCCCAGCACGAACTGGCGCAAGGACGAGAAGGAGGCGGGCGAGGACCCCGGCGCCCAGGCCCTCAAGGACAAGCTCAAGGACAAGCAGGTCAAGTGCCGTATCTGCAACGGCGAGCATTTCACGGCCCGCTGTCCCTACAAGGACACCATGGCGCCCGTCGGTGCCGACGGCGCCGATGTCGCTGCGGGCTTGCCGGACGACCCCGCTCCCGCGGCTGGCGGCGCCGGAGGTGCTGGCGGTGCCGGTGCCAAGAAGGGCAGCTACGTCCCGCCTGCGCTCCGGGCTGGCGCGACTGGCGGCGCGGGTGCGGGTGATAGGATGGGAGGCAGCAAGTACGGCGAGCGGGACGACCTCGCCACGCTGCGTGTCACCAACGTGCGTACCCCCCTTGACGACGGAGGAGTCCTGGTGGTCTTGAGAGCTGTGATACTGATAGTTGTGTACAGGTTTCGGAAATGGCAGAGGAGCAGGAGCTGCGCGACATGTTCGAGCGCTTCGGACGCGTCACGCGTGTGTTCCTCGCCAAGGACAGGGAGACGGGACTGGCCAAGGGCTTTGCTTTCATCAGCTTTGCGGACCGGGGCGACGCCGTCAAGGCCGCGGCCAAGATGGACGGTTTCGGTTTCAAGCACTTGATTCTCAGAGTCGAGTTCGCCAAGAAGGCGGCCTAAGCTGTTGGTCGAGGGTGGTGATGATGGGGATGAAGATGGCGGTAACGAATGTTTTGATGCTACTACTGGAGACACGGCTACGGCAATACGGGTTTACAAAAATTTGGCATCCGCTTTGGGGATAACGGTAGTTTTTTACATCCCTCGTTTTTATTTTCTCTCTCATGGAAAATGCAAAGACATGATCTCACGGGACTCTGGGTATGTGTGAGGACATTGCTTGATGAAAGAACCCGCCACATGATGACCCCGATATTCGAAACTCACAGATCACGGAACTGACGTTTAGCATAACCGTGATTTGAAATACTGTAACTAATACAAAGCAGGTATCTGATGGGAAACCCAGACTCAACTCCGTTTCCGCCCCTTTTCTTCCACAACTCGAATTCAAAAAGCACACAGACTGAGACAAAGGAAAAGTAGTATAAAGATAGTAAACGATGATTACAAAAAACAAGCATTTTTCCAATAACGAGGCGCCGGATGTAAACACGGAATAGCCGAGACTCCTCGTGGATGTAGAGATGTTGTGTATATTAATAGAAGAGTTTCAGTCTTCGTGCTGGTTTCCGTCATCATTATCTCGTTCAAGGCCGTGAAAAGTGTATTCAAAAACAACAATAGGAGATGAGTAGACAGTAAAGGAAAAGGGGGTGGGTTGTTTGGTTGGTTGGTGTCGTGGAGACGAAGTATAGCGAGTGTGGGTGCCGCGAGGGCGAAGAACGAGCGAGTGCCATCTCTGGCTAGTGGTGGTCGATTTGGTGATGAAGCTGTTGTGTCGATGTTTGTCGTTGTCATTGTCGCGCCGGCGCGAACGGAGGATCCCGTCGCAGAGCAAGTTCCAAGCGGCGAAGAAGAAGAAGACCTTCGCACAGAGATCCCATTCTAGGAACCTCTGCACAAAGACCTCAGTTTCTGATCCCCCTCAACCACGTAATCGACTCGACTCTGCGGATAGTCCATCAAGCAGCGGGCGTCTCCTCCTCAGCAGCAGGGGCATCGCCGTCCGCGGGGGCATCCCCCTCAGCACCATCGGCCTGGGCGTTCTCCCTCGCGAGCTTCTCCTCGAGCTTCTTCTTCTTCTCGAGGGCGCGCTGCTTCTTCTTGGCCTCTGCCTTTTGGCGGCTCGCCTCCTGGCGCTCGTCAAAGACGTAGGGGAGCGATTTGACGGCGCTGAAGGTGACGGCGAGGCCGCGGCTGAGGTGCTTGAAGCACTCGGCGTAGTGCGATTTGGCGTCCGAGAGGTCGGCGCGAGCGGCGGTGGCTCGTTTCTTTGCGCGGTAGGCTCGCTCGGCACGCTGGGCGCGCTGGTAGTTGTCCGAGGCCTGGCGGCGGTTCGTCCGGAGGAGGTTTTCCGTGCCCGAGGTGCCGGGGCGTTTGGGGAGGGGCTTGGAGTCGCCGGCGATGGAGGACGTTGGGGTTTCGCGGGCCATTTTGTGTGGTCAGGCTGTAATTAATTAAGAGCTTGTTGTATGTGTATATGGAATGAATGTATACAAGTCACTATAGACTGTTTGCGAGCAAATCACTTGTAAAGCAGAGCAGGAGGGCCGGTGACTCTTCCGGCTCGTCTTTATACAACTACCGAACGATGCTGGGCAACCCAGTTTGCAAAAGCGCATATAAATGAACACTGAAAAAAAAAACGCGACAAATTTGATTTGGTCCCGATCCCAGGAAGGGGCCCTGGTGGTGTGGGTTGTGTTTTGATGGTAGTCATTCTAGAAGTTCATGCAAACGACCGGCGTACCCCGGACAGCCGTCCAGGGATGCCTCCATCATGGGAGCCGCCTGGCGAATGAGTGGTCGCGAGCAGTCGCCTTGTGGTAGCATGACAACAGAATCAAAACGCGTGGCGCGCTTGGATTCGCGTGATTTGAGTGAAGGGACGTTGATGGGAAGGGTTTACATCGTTGTGCCTCCTGAAGGGTGTTTCCTTGTGTCCATGGTCTTCTTCCCGTCTTCGCTGGCTCCGCTTGGAGCTCGTGAAGCCTTGCGCTTCAAGTGTTGCTGATGCAACGGGTTTGATCAATGTTACACACCATCGATCTGTCGTGCGTCATCCAGTTCGATACAGCGTTGACCTTGATTATCACTCGAGAAACTGTCGTCAAAGTGCGGTGATGTTTGTTGACAGACTCAAAGCTTATCGTCGAGAGGTCTCCTATCGGCACGTGCATGATCTCGAGTGAGCTTGTACATTAGCTGGCCCGAGCGTCAAAGGGCCCTCGCTTAAAGCGCTCAAGCACCATGACGCTAGACCATGTTGGGATTGGGTCGCTGCTCCGCTAACCGTAGGCAAGAGCCCCGCACCTGTGCTAGGCGTGGCGCGCTCACGCTGTAGACTTGTAGAGGAAGGTAAGTCGCTCTGCAGTCCAGGTTGCCTGAGGTACCAATGGTATACAGGCACGAAGAAGGCGCTGCTGCATCTCCCGCATTCGCGCTTTCCCGCTCGAACGAGAGGGAAGACGCTGGAAGGTTGAAGGATTTTTCTTTCTCAACACCTTACCCTGCGCAGGGGTGCTTAGGGCCACCAGTAACCACACGTGTGCAAGTGGTGTCTGACCTCCGTCTGTACAGTGCTAGTGAGAAGCTTCAGGTCAGTTTCTTTGTTCAAATGATCTAGGTATCTGCCGCGAGATGTTGCGGAGGTAGGTAGCTCATTATGGCTACCTTTTGAGGCAATGTAATCGGATGTCATCCGTGGGACCTCTCATTGGACCCTTGGTGCCTTCCATCTTCACGAGCTCCTGCCGGTGCTGAATCGCGCAGGCGGCTCAAATGCTCGACTTCAATGTCCACTCCAGTGTTGCGGCTGCCCACGGATCACATGCCAAGTTCAAGTGTACTTTTCTCATTCCCCACGGTACTTGCACAATGTAGCGAGTAAAGACGAATTCAACAGTTGCGGGACGGGCGGGCTTTCTCAATCCAAACCAATCCAAATCAGCAGGAACCAAACCTAACCCGCCGGACTAGTGGGGCTGGTCGTACAGTGTAAGTGCGGCAGGTGCCTCCGTACCGTACCTTCCCAGTGCTTCCTCACAACGCTGCCTCCCATTGGAAACCTCCAGCTGCACCCTCAACCCTTGTCTGTGACGTTCTTTCCACGTCGTCCTTCTTCCCAACGTCTTGCCTCTTCGCCTGTCTTCTCTCCTCCTCTCTCCTCGCCTGAACTCTTGCTCTTCTTGCATTGCTCCTGCTCGTTTCTCGCGCACACAAAAAGTCAACCTTGACACTGGCGGCTCATGGACAGCCTGAGCAACAGAATCATCATCGCACAACGCCCTTACCGACCCCCCTGCGTGTGAAAATAACCTAAACCCCTCCATCGGCATCGTCGATTGCTACGCTGCTCCTGCCCTTGGCCTAGCATGAGCTCTTCCGCCGCGCCCCTCGCAAGTGATGTCGGCTCTCTGCGTCAGCGCCAGAGGCGGACGTCCGCGGCTGGCAACGGCGAGGATGGTCTAAACCCCTCAGCCGCCGCGGACGACCAGTCTGAAGACTCACTGCAAAAGCCCAACAAGACGTTTGGTCGAACTCCCGATGGCACAGGTGGGTTTCGCGGTGATGTGCTTTACTTGCTGTCGACTGACAATCGCCTAGTCTTCACCGTCCCCACCACGCACGACATGGTGTCGCAGCTGCTCGATCCGAGACAGCCCAAGAACCTCTCCGATTTGCTCGTCTTGGCCATTCTCGCCCTCCAGATTGTTGCGGCCTATTTTGTGCCCGGCAACCTGAAGCGTCCCTTGTTCGCGCTCGTCTTCCTCTTCTGGCGAGCCTCGTACAACATTGGCATTGGATACCTCCTCACCATCCAGTCCAACCACCGCAGGCTGGAGACGTGGGCCGCGAGATGGAAGCTCTTTGAGCACCCCTCGTCAGGAAAACAACCCCGCCCTTGGCTCTACAACATATTGAAGCGTGAGCTCGAGGCCAAGATCCCCGAGGACTACGAGTTTGAGAAAGCCCCCATGGAGTACAACACCTGGCTAGTCTTCCGCCGTGTCGTCGATCTGATCTTGATGTGTGACTTTGTCTCCTACTGCCTCTTTGCCGTGATCTGCGGTCGCACACCCGCCGGCGAGAACCCCTTTGTCGGTTTTGGACGATGGTCCATCGGCATCCTCTTGGTCCTCTTCAATCTCTGGGTCAAGCTGGACGCCCACCGCGTCGTCAAGGACTACGCTTGGTACTGGGGTGACTTTTTCTACCTCGTCGACCAGGAGCTGACCTTTGACGGCGTCTTTGAGATGGCCCCGCACCCCATGTACTCCATTGGCTACGCTGGCTACTACGGCATCTCCATGATGGCTGCGAGCTATGAGGTCCTCTTCATCTCAATCATTGCCCATCTCGCCCAGTTCGCCTTCCTCGTCGTCGTTGAGAACCCGCACATTGAGAAGACGTACAACCCGCCTGCCCCGCGTAAGCGCACTGCCTCGACGCCGCTTACCGGCCAGCCGGAGCTCGTCGCCATCAACGATGAAATCGTGGGTGACCAGGCCGCCACGGCCCAGGAGTCGTCGCCCGAAGCGCCCGCGCAGGTGCACAACCTGATCGGCTTGAACAACCTCGACCTATTCCGCATCACAGATACCTCGGTTCTGTTGCTCGGCTTCTACATGGCCGTCCTGACCATTGTGACCCCATCGACGTCGGTGTACCAAGTCCTGTTCTTACTGCACGCTCTGTTCTGGCGCGTGTGGTATCATCTCGGCCTGGGTGCCATCCTCGCGTGGCAGTCCCGCAATAAGTTCTGGACGAGACATTTCCTCAAGTACGGCGAGAGCCACACTGAGGCATGGAATCAGTGGAAGGGCATGTACCATTTGAGCTCTGTCATGTGCACGGGATCCTTCATCGCCGCGTGCTGGAAGATGTACTCGCCGCCAGAGGACTGGGCGTACGGCTGGGTCCTCCTCAAGCACGTGGTCGGAGCCGGCCTCGTCTCCCTCCAGGTCTGGACATTCATCAGCGTGTACGACTCCCTCGGCGAGTTTGGCTGGTTCTACGGTGACTTCTTTTACGACTCCACCGCCAGGCTGACATACAAGTCCATCTACCGCTTCCTCAACAACCCCGAGCGCATCTTTGGCACTGCTGGCCTCTGGGGCTCTGCCCTCATTACATGGAGCAGAGCCATTTTCGTCATGGCTCTTGTCAGCCAGCTGTTTACGTTGGGCTTCATCAACTTTATTGAGAAGCCGCACATGCAAAAGACGTATGGTCGCGGCATTCGTCAAGAGGCCGGCCTGACCAAGTTTATCAAACGTTCGCTGCCACCGCCCGTCCAGGGCTGGCAACGCGGTGTCGACAAGGTGATTGACGACACGGCACAGTTCATTGAGGAGTTCCTCGATACCGCGCGCCCCAAGTTCGCTTCCGGCATCAAGACGATCGTCCGCGACACCTCGGCCCTGTTCAACAAGTACCCGGCTCGTCTGACCGTCACACGCCTGTCTCCGGATCTCGCTGGGCTAGACCCTAAGCTCTACTCCCTCTCCGTAGAAGGCACACCCTCAAGCCTATCAGCCGCTAATGAGCGTGCCACGGGCAAGGAGGGTCTGACGGCCCGATTCCAACGCGGTGTCGAGACCATGATCTTTGAATATGGCGCCCCTTTGAAAGTTAAGTGGCGCGCTCCCGCAAAGCACGACAGCAAGGACTGGATTGGTCTCTACATGGTTACCGATAACCGCTCCAGAGAAGCGACAGAGGTGCCGTCTCTAGGCCGGTGGGTGCCTACGACTCCCGGCAGCTATGATGCGGCCACCGCCGACAAGGCCATCTTGATCCCCGATCGACCGGCTCAAAAGCAGGACGCGTCGGATCCCGACATTGTCGAGGGCGAGGTCATCTTTGAGGGCGATCGGCTGTGGTGGACTCAGGGCGTCTTTGAGTTCCGGTACCACCATGCCGGCAACCACCACGTCATGACCATCTCGCAGCCCTTTGAGATCCGCATCGGCAAATTCGATGAGGACGATGTCGAGGTTGACGCCAACGGCATGTACGAAAAGGCCGTCGAGCAAGCCTTGCTGCCTCTTGTGCAAAACTGCTGTGACCGTGACCACGACATTGCGCCCACCACCGTTGACGAGCCCTTTGGCGGCCACGTCGAGCGCGATGGCAAGTATGCCAAGAGAATCGTCTACGCCATCCACCAAATGTTTGGTATCGAATTCGCCCCCGCCATCGTGCCCGCCGACGGCAATGTCAGAAAGATGGCCTGGCGAATCTGCAATGCCAAGCAGGTTCTGGTGAGTTACTCGTGCTTGTCCATATGACACAAACTGACGTTCAATAGGCACCCTACAGTCTGTCTCACTCCAAGGGGAACAGCACTCCTACAACCTTTGAGAAGGCCTAAGCATCATGCGTTAGGCCTTACGCTCGTGATCTGCAATCGTACTGGAACATTAGGAGGGAAAAGTTGGCGCACACATTCAGATTGATGACTTGGTATTATGCACGTCGGTTTACCTTGGCCCGAGAGGCGACCGATGCCCGGCGCAACGAACAGGAATCGAGGATGGGAAACAAGAGCGTGTGGATGGGCGTCCGTGAGTTACCTTAGCCTGAGAAAGAGAAAAATAACAGTGACCGCGCTGCAGCGATTTGTTTTCGCAACACTTTTTTGGTACGCAAAGATTGACAGTCTCACGGCACAGCAAGTAGGAGAGCCCCCGCGAGAGACACGGCACGGAAGGACGGCCTGGCATTCCTGGTGCACACGGTCCCGAGGTGAGTCGTGCATAACCACCCGCAAGATGACCCTCTCTCGCAGATTCGATTGGCTTGGACTTTAGGCAAAGAAGAGGCGGTACCGGCGTTGGGATGGTTGAGTATGGAGACAATGCTACGCCCCCCGCATGAAGCTATAGTAAGCTATAGTCTGGGCTCTTACGGTACTTGATATCACTCCGACGGGAGACCTGGAGCATTGTTTGCTCAATTCGTAATGTCCACGCCGTCTTGGTACAGCGCCCATGTGTGCCAAAGAGTCAAGATTTGAAGTGATCATGACCCAGGATGGAGAGCTCGCACGTCGTCAGGCTCGTTTTAACGCATTCTGATGGCTGTTGATATACCTCGTGCGGCATGCGAGTGTTCGTCCCTGTAAATCCAGGCACCGTGTGGTGCACATGGCCCGGCACATGGCAGACCTAGACATGCAGAATAAGAGTAAGCTTCTGTGTGACGACGATCCCGCAGTTCACAAACGGCAAGCCGGAGGCAACGCTAGAAGAAGACAAGGTTGGCCGTGGCTTGCATCGGAGTGCGGGGGAGGCCACATGGCACATCATGATGCGAGCTCGCCATTCTGGCCAGTTGAAATCCGACAAGAAGGTGATTGGCGAAGCGTCACTCTCGAGGTTCGATGCAGAGGCGCACGGCCGTTTGACTGCCGGGCGGCTCGGTCGGATGGCAGACGAGGGGTTTGACTTTTTGGTGATGTATCCGTGATTCGAGTGATGCCACACTCGACCAAGACCTCACCGGGCGCCGGCATCGTCCCGTGCCTGCGGTGGTCAGTGTTCACCGTCTCCCGTGCTGGGGACGGCATCATAAATTACCGCAAATTGGGAAATTTCTCAGAACCCCACGAACGAAAGAGAAAACCCACACGAAATCAACAAGCGGCGCCGATTGGCCGACTGCATCTCCGTGGTTCCCCCTCACCTCTCCGCCTCCTCCAGTCCTTTTGGGCTCCTCCTCCTCTTTTCTCCACATTCTCCGCATCGGCACACGAGTGGAAGTCAGAGTAACCTTCTCCACCTCGAACTCGACACCCTTTTTCTCAGAGTTTGTGTGACACGAACATTTGCCATCCAAAGACGAGGTGCGGTTCGTCGAGTTGTGTGCTGCGGGAAGCTGTCTGGTCCTGCTGTGGCATACTGCCGGTACGCTGTACAGGAACAGAAAGGGGCGGTTGTCTCGAGGTACTCAACCTGAATCTCCCAGACAAACTCTATCATCGAACCAGACGAAAATACCGTGAACTACCCCTGGCCGGACGTTTTCATTACAGGGGAAGCCCATCACCTTGCTAACGTCGCTTCAGGGTTGAGCCTGTCTTCTGGAAAGTGTCCGCACCGCACTCCGACTACTCCGCCCTTGTGTCCGTACGCTGTGAAGTCTGTATTCTGTAGGCATTAAGGTTAGCCACAGAAGCACGGAAGAATCCCGTTCGCCGTCCCAAACAGGCAACCGGGTCCCGTTTCGAAGTCCAGGTCCCGGCTTTACCAAGGCAGTGAGCGCATGACCAGGGAACCAAGGTCTACGGGCGACAATCGTTGACACATTCAGAGGAGACTCCGTCCTTGCCCCTGGGGCCTTGAGGGGTCTTACGCGAAAATGGGCCGTCTTCGCTCCTCGAGTTCAAGACCTCGTCGTCGTCGTCCTTTTCTTCTCCGTCCCGTGCTCGCACTCGTCACCGTCGTCACACTCGTTCCGTGCCTCGTTCTCACCGTGCAGCTGTTTTGCCAACACAGACATTCGTTCGTCGTCCAGTATTTGCCCAGCATGTTGCGAGACCTCTTTGCGCCGGCCGGCCTCGTGCCGCTGCTGCTCTCCTCTCCGGCGGCCGCCACCCTCCTCTACGCCTCATCGTACAGCGGCGCCATCACCACCCTGAACCTCACTCTGTCGGGCGCAAACGCCACGCAGTCCACCCTGCAGTCGCTCTCCTCTTCCAACGGCTGCGCGCCCAGCCCATCGTGGCTCCAGCTCGACAAGGCCAACGCGAGACTGTTTTGCACGGATGAGGGTCTTACAACCAATGTCGGCACTGTCTCGTCCTTCAAGACCGGCGCCGACGGTGTGCTGGAGCAGCTGGCCAAGACGGAGACCATCAGCGGTCCCGTGAGCGCCGTTGTCTTTGGCGAAAAGGGCCAAGGCCTCGCCATCGCTCAGTAGTATGTCTTGATGTTTGTTGACGACGAGCACGAGCTAACTTTTGCCAGCGGCGGCTCCTCTGTGAGCTGGTTCGACATCTCCAACCCGGCGGCCCTCACGCCCGTCAAGTCCGAGACGTTCAACATGTCGGCTCCCGGCCCCAACCCGTCGCGCCAGGACGCACCGCACCCGCACGAGGTCTTCCTGGACCCCAAGGGCCAGTTCGTCCTGGTTCCCGACCTGGGCGCCGACCTCGTCCGCGTTTTTGCCGTTGACGGCGCCAACAACCTCGTCGCCGTCGACTCCCTCGTCGCCGCCCCCGGCAGCGGACCCCGCCACGTCGAGTTCCTCGTCACCCCCGAGGGCAAGACGTACCTGTACCTCATTAGCGAGCTTGCCAACACCGTCACCGCATACGACGTCGCCTACCGCGAGAACAAGACGCTCGGCTTCACCGAGGTGTTTTCCGGCTCCACCTACGGCGCTGGTGCCTCTGCGCCTGCCGGTGCCAGCGCCGCCGAGATTTGGATTTCTGTGAGTCAACGTTCTTCTCTATGAAGTCTCAATGCATACTAACAAAACAGTCCGACGGCAAGTTCTTGACCGTCTCGTCGCGCAACGATTCGGCTTTCAGCATCAGCAACCCCGACACTCCCGGCGAGGGCGCGCAGATCCCCTCCGACTCGCTCAACACCTTCACCATTGACGCCAAGACGGGCGGTCTTACGCTGCTGCAAAAGTTCCCTGCCGGTGGACGCATCCCGCGCCAGTTCTCCGTCAGCAAGGCGGGCGACCTCGTAGCCGTTGGTCTGCAGTCCGACAGCCGTGTTGTTGTGATTAGCCGTGATGCCGCGTCGGGCAAGCTGGGAGAGATTCTCACGAGCGCCAAGGTTGATGGCGAAGTGACTGCCGTTATTTTTGATGAGTAGGCGTTTAGCATGAGCGTAGCGGCATGAAACAACTTGCATCTCCTTGAATTGTATACCACGAGTAGATGTTAGATACCAACGAAATCAAACTCTGGTGTATAGGCAGTCTGGGCCCGTACTGACTTCAATGACATGTTGGACATTTCGAGACCCACGATACAGGAATCATACACCCGAAAACGCTCACTCGCTTATGCGCGTCGTGAATCATAAACGCCCCTTGGCTACGTAGGAAGGTCAGCAACCCGAGTTGGGGAGATGACGGGCTCCTGATCCGGTAACCGAGGGGCGGCTCGCGAGTAAGCCAACGTGCTTGAAGTGGCTGACCCCGTTCGAGTAAAGCTCGGATCCCCGGGCGGGCCATTGTCTGCAGGCCTGGGTCAGAAGGGAACCCGAAAGGCGGGCGGGAAGATAGATACCTGGTCCATGTGAGGCTGCGCGTTCTGATGCGCACGTCAACTTACAAGACCAGAGTCGCGGGAGCGGAGTGATAACACAACATTGAAAGTCACACTTGGATGAGTGCCGACGCAATGTAACAGCGCAGCCGAATGGAATTCTCCAGACCGACACTTGAGGCAACGCGAGTGCATATTCGACCTACTTCATGGCGGACGCAAGGAATACGATTGGTTCTTTCTTGTAGAAGCTGAGGATTTTGATGTCGTACTCTCAGAAGTCTAAAATTAAGGGTAGAATACTCGGTTTCAACTCCAGATTCCACGAAGAAGGTACCCGTCCGCGGCTGGCATTTCGAGTGACGGAACAGAGTCATCGATAAAGTCTGGTTCGATACGACCGTGATCCTGGGGTTGTCGACCGGTATACACTCAAGAAAGGTTCCGACAGACACGGCAGAGGAATGCTGCTTCTTGGCCTGGTCGGTCGACATGCAGCAAAACTACAGAGTGTCAAAGTCTGGTAACGAATTAGAACCCCGGAAGCGGGTAGTCGGGAGGGACTTACAGTGTGGGGCATCCATCGCCATGTGTGGTGTGCCAGGGAAACGGCCGGCCGTTCGCCCGTCCGACCCCGGATTCTCTCCCGGGGACGAACTCGCGAGATGGGAAGATATGCCTAGGTAGATTGTGGACCGTCGTGATGAATCTTGGTCGAAGTGAGTGATTCGCAAGTCGATTTCTTTTTCCTTTTGGGGTACCGTCGTAAATCTCTCGTGAAGAATCAGCTACTCAGCGACATCAACTGCTCATGAACCCTGGCCTTGGACGCATGAGAGCGAGGCGGGAGCTCGTCAATCTTGTTTGGAGAAGCGTCCCGATTTGGGTGTTGGAGGGGTGGTGGTTAATCTACGTTCCGGCGGTTCTCGCCCACCACCCCTCATGACCTGGCTGGCGTTGTAGGACTGTTGAGCACCATGACAGGGTCTTGCTAACATGGCGAGACAATCTCTCGCAGCCCCATCTTTTGACAGCGGCACAGCTGGTGTTGTCTAGATTGGGCCCGAGGGATTTCTAGAACCTGGAGGTGTTAGTCGAGCTTGGTAGAGTGGCGGGAGCGAAATGAAGTTGACAGGGATGCTGCCACCTACTTGGACAAAGTCTCGTCAAAGTGTACGAATAACCGTGAGCGTGACGAAGGGAGTCGACATGCAGGTACAGGCAGAGAGGGGAGACTGGGGCCACACAAGAACACGGCAGACAACGGGAGAGACTCGGGATTGGGCTTCATTCGTTATGGAGTTGTGGCCATGGATAATGGAACGAGGTTGCAACGTGAAGTGTGTAAAATTACGAGGGAGGTTCGAAATGCCCACTGGCCTTAGTAAGCCAGGTATCTTGTATCCGTACTTATACAGGTAGAACTGGCAGACGAGAGGAAGGAGATACCCTCAATGACTCCAAAGAAGGCAGGAAGGCACTTTCCCGTTTCCCCCGCTCTGGGGAGCACTTGCCTCAGGTCAAACACTCAAGGTACTTTACCTTATTGATGTAGTCGTGGCCCCTCCCCCAGATTGGCAGGGCCGATCGACACTGAGGGCCCTTTCCCCATGAATGCCGTAAACTCGGAACGGAATTAAGGCACGGATCAATACTTTTGGGACCAACGACATCAAATTAACCCAATGTACCTGCGGTAAGGCATGAGGTTGTCAACGCAAAGAACACATGTCTCTCAACACCCACGATGGACAAACATGGACAAACCGGCAGCACACCAAGATGCTTCTTCCGCGCTACCTCACTGTGTACATAGGTATAAGCGACGGCCCCTCTGCTTAGCGTGCGCCGTTGACCCTTGTTCCCCATCTCATCCTCTCCCCGAATCCCATCCCATCCCATGCCCGTTTCGTCCCATGCCCGTTGCAACCGTCGGCTCTGGTTGGCCTGGCCTGGCCTGATGTCTGCCGCTGCGGGATGGGGTAACTGTCACGACGCACCAATCCGATGGATTCTCGCTCCAACGACTCCAAGCCGGGGTCCGGGGCAAAGGGGGATGAAGCTGGCCTAGAGCTCCCCTCTGCTCACCTGCGGGCACTCAGACGAGTGTCTCTTTTTACCCTCAACAGCGACTTGCTGCCCATCCTTGGCCATCCGACACCAACAACGCCATAGGATTGCTTCCTCCGCATTTTACCCCCCCCCCCCCCCCCCCCCCCCCCCCCCCCCCCCCCCCCCCCCCCTCCCCCCCGGGGGCCCACAGCGTTTTTTTTTTTTTCCCCCCACTCCCGCCTTCCCCCCCCCCCTTGCCCCCCCACCCCAAAAACCCCCTAGGTTTTTTCCCCCCCCTTTTCCCCCCCCCCCCCCCCCCCTTCCTCCGCCTCCTCGGTGATTCTCCCATAATTACTGCTCCACAGCCGTGCATTCGTCTCTTTTCGCCTTCTCTGTTCCGTCGTCTGCTCCCTTCTCCTACGGCACCTCCAAAGAAGTTGTGAAACACCGCGATACCTTCGAGCCTGGTTTGACTGACACCTTTCGCCTCGAGTCACGCACCCCCCGTTCAGCCGAACCTAATCGCATCGGTCCGGTCTTTGTCGATTGCAGCCTCGCAAACCGCCAGTGCATCGCAACTATTTAGCCACCAAGCCCCCCCAAAGTCGCCGCTTCACTCATCCATCCACCCCCGCCTGAGCTGCGCTATCGCGGCGCACCACCATCTGCCCACCACGTCTTCCACCAAGCTTCTTCGTCTCCAGACGCAGCACGCCATGTCCCCGTCGTCGACGGGTGACTCCCCGCGCTCGGCCACGGGCAACGGCAACGCGGGGAGGTCTTTTCCCGTCCCGTCGCGCGAGGCCTTCAACGTCGACGTTCCCTCACCTTCCATGACCAACGGCATCCACCCTCTCAAGTCACCCGCCTCGCTCAAGGTGCAAAGGACGCCCAGTTTCAGCAGAGATGGCTTCCTAGGTTCCGTGCAAAAAGCCCGGAACATGTCTCAGTCCTCCGAGAACCGTCCCGATGCTCTGACCAATGGCATGCACAAGGCGCCCAGCGACGAGGGGTCCAACCCGCTAAAGAGGAGGAACACGGACGTTGGCATCGACTACCCAAGGAGGAGGGCCACCATTGCAGTATGTGAATTGATCAGTGTGAAAGACATTGTGAGCTGACCAACGACAGTGTGAAGTGTGTCGCTCCCGCAAGTCTCGCTGCGATGGCACAAAACCAAAGTGTAAGCTCTGCGCCGAGCTGGGCGCCGAGTGCGTCTACAGAGAACCCGGCATCAAGCTGGATGCCGGGGATAAGCTGATTCTCGAGCGCCTCAACCGTATTGAAAGCCTGCTGCAGATGAACATGGTCGCCGGACAGGGAAGCGGCATCGCCATGAACCAAGAGTCGCCGTCCATGAGCAACGGATCAGGCCTCAACGGGGACAGCTTGATGGGCATACCAGGCTCAGGCAACGCCGTCTCCATCATCCCCAACGGCGGCCTGGGCACGTGGAACAACCCGACAAACATTTCAACCATGCCCAAGATGCATACAAACGCGGCGCTTCACCTATTGCAGTGGCCTCTCATTCGCGACCTCGTCTCTCGCCCCTATGACCCGCAAGTCCTGCTCCAATTGGAAATGGCCCGCGAGCCTCTCCATTCGCTCACAAAGACGCCGTGTGTCGACCTGTCCAATACGACTGCCTACATCGAGGCCTACTTTGAGCGGGTGAATGTCTGGTACGCCTGCGTCAACCCGTACACGTGGAGAAGCCATTATCGAACAGCCCTCTCCAACGGCTTCCGCGAGGGCGCCGAGAGCTGCATCGTCTTGCTGGTCCTGGCCCTGGGTCAAGCGAGTTTGAGAGGCAGCATCTCACGCATCGTCCCGGGAGAGGACGCTCCCGGGCTGCAGTACTTTACGGCCGCGTGGGCGCTGCTGCCCGGTATGATGACATCCAACAACGTCCTGGCGGCGCAGTGCCACTTGCTGGCTTCGGCTTATCTGTTCTACCTGGTGCGGCCCTTGGAGGCTTGGAATCTGCTCTGCACCACCAGTACCAAACTTCAGCTCTTGCTTATGTCCCCCAACAGAGTTCCGCCCAATCAGCGGGAGCTCACTGAGCGAATCTACTGGAATTCACTTTTGTTTGAGAGCGATCTTTTGGCCGAGCTGGATTTGCCACATTCGGGCGTCGTTCAATTTGAGGAGAACGTCGGCCTTCCTGGCGGCTTTGAGGGTGAGGAGCAAGAAGCGATTGGCCGGGACGACCTCTGGTACTTCCTCGCCGAGATCGCCCTGCGGCGGCTCCTCAACAGGGTCAGCCAGCTCATCTACTCAAAAGACTCGATGGCTTCCACAACCAGCCTGGAGCCGGTGGTGGCGGAGCTCGACTTTCAGCTGACGCAATGGTACGAGAGCCTGCCGATGCCGCTGCAGTTCCCCTTCACCCGTACCCTCCTCTCCGATCCGGTGCAGACCGTGTTACGCTTGCGCTTCTTTGCTTGCCGGACGATCATCTACCGCCCGTACATCTTGGCCGTATTGGACAATGAGCAGGCCGTCCTGGACCCCGCGGTGCGTGACAGTTGCCACAAGTGCCTGGAAGCCTCCATCCGGCAGCTGGAGCACATTTCACAACAGTAAGCTCAAGTGCTGAATCATTTCTTGTCATAACGCTAACTCGCCGCAGTCACGCCGGACACATGCCATACCTGTGGCAGGGAGCGCTCTCCATCGTATCGCAAACGCTACTGGTCATGGGTGCGACCATGTCACCCTCTTTGAGCAGTATCCTCCTCACCCTCGTTCCCCACAGGGAAACCATCGATCAGATCATCAACGACGTGGTCATGGAGATCGAGCGATACTCGACACTGGCCCCGAGTCTGAGCCTGGCAGCCGAGATTATCAAAGAGGCCGAAGTGCGAAGGAGGGCATACCTGAGCGGTTGAAAGCCGCTCGGCCCGCCCGCCTATTCGAATTGCATCTAGTTGTCTGCAGCGGGCCACCCATCTCAACAGTGCGACCCGCGGCAGTCTCCATCTCCACGTTCCTGACGGTGGGCCATCGCCATGATCCTCCTGCAAACGACCCTGGGGTTGAGTGCCCCGCCGCCCGTTTGGCTGGGAAAGCCGGCGTACAGTCGCAACAGCATCGAGCGTGCAAAGCTACACTGAACGGTGGAGGCGTCCATCTGGGGTGCAGACAGAAATCCGGGGTCACGCCATCTGGAAATGGGGGCTGGACACCGCCCTACGAATTGGCGTGGCTTGGTTGGCGGGTAATACTTGATCTTACACGGTATTCGGACCGAAATCCCGGCATGACCACCCACACAGCCAATGAGCCAGCCTGGCGCCAACCCATTTCGAGATGGCTCTGCCGCCGACCCCCGGGAATAGAAAGAGAGAGGAAGAGGCGAGATGCTGTCACTTTTCATTGAGGGCAAGTCTGACGGAGTGGTTATTAGCGCACAGTGGCAGCACTCACAGCAGTACTGAGTGGCAGCGCTGCGAGGTGACTGGGATAACCGGCTCTGAGGCATACGGGTTTGGGAGGAGCAAGACTTTACTTTGGGCG